CAAAATTAATGGTCCCTGACACGGATAAGGATCACCTTTAATTGCACAGTAATCTATTTCCTCCATTTTTGTAAGTAAAATTACATCTCAACATGTTTGTAAGGTATATCTTAACATTTTCCTAATTAAAAGTACATCACAACATTTTCGTAAGGTGCATCTCAATATTTTCCTACTATCTCAATATTTTCCTACTATGCATTTCAAATATGGGTAACGTGGCCATTTCTGAATCACTCATTTCAAAATATAGTAAATGACACACTATTTTACTGGAGATAATTTTCAACCCCAAAACATTTCGTTTAATTTTATTAAATGAGATTTTTTATCATAATAATGTGGTCAAACGACTTAAAATCATAGGAAAAATAATGAAACCTAATCCACTGCATCTACTTTCCATCCAAATAATCTACCTGATAACGTGAGATTAAATGAGCCCATTAAGATGTTTTATTATAGGTGCCCTAACAATTATTATTATTATGAATATCATCCTTTAGATATATATATTATTTCACACAAAAATAACTTATCCTTTATTACACCGTTTGCAATTTCATCAATGACTCTTTACCATTCACAACTAGAGTAATTTTTGCAATTTCTACGTTCCCATTTGGACTCCAATCTTCTCATTTAAATTTTGTGGACAAATAAGTTTGTTTAATTTTAAATTAACAATGCAACACATCACATTAATAATACATGTTAGACAGAGAGTATGACACTTTCATACTAATTTATACCATTATTTCCTATTTTTATGATCCAGCTATATTTGGCCATTCGTGAATGAAAATAAAAAATAATAATAATAAAAATATTATAGGTATCAGATTCAATTTATGTAAGTGGCTGGTGGACTCACAATAATGATGTTATGGCGAAGCCAGAGGGCCCCCCAAAATTTTTGGAAATTTTTTTTCATAAATGGAAATCTTTTTTATTACATCTTAATTATTAATTAATTTACAAATTTTGCCTCAAAATCTATTAAAATTTTTAATTGGCCCCCCCAATATTTTTATATTGACGAGCTAATTTTGATATTAATTAATTTGTAGATTTTGTTCCTAAATTTAATTAAAAATTTCAATTGGCCCCCCAATCTTTTTCAAAACACATATATTGACCCAAAATAAAGAATGCGAAAATAAATTTAATTTGTCTCTTTGAAATTTAAATATTTTTCAACTTGCACTCTTTTTACTATACTTTTAAAAGCTCAAATATTATGAAACAAAAATTTTAGCTCATTATTATTATAGTCATTTTTTTTTTTGTAAATAATTATTATAACTGTTATCTCAACACATTATCATTTTATTTATATATACACGTACAATATCTATAATGTTAATTCAAAAGAGATAAAAAAGAATAAAATAATTAATGTTTCCTTATGTTTGGTCAGAATGCATGAAGCATTTTTTGTCAAACATTTTTGTAAAATGGTATTTATAAGAAAAATATCTAAAATTATATCGCAATCTTTATTGGCAAGTCCTAAGAATATTTGGAAAAAAAATAAACTAAGGTATTGTGAAACTCTCAATAATAATAATAATATCATCTATATAATTTTAGTTATTACTTTCTAAATAACAAATTTTATAACTTTTTGTATCTTTTTTAATAACTCAATAATAATCTTGTTAATTTTTTTTTAAAAATTAAGTTAAAATTCATTATATTGTTGAATTGTGGAATCTACTTAATTTTCTTCTTGCAAAAATTAGATTTTTGAAAAATTAAAACAATTGATAAAGGAAATTTGATTTTCTAACCATGCTTATTTCTTTACATTTCTTATCCATAATTTTCTTCTAACATCAAATTTATTTATTTATTTTTGTGTCCAAGTTGTATTTTTTCATTTTTGAATTTTCTCAAGATATATATATACTATGACCAGTATTTAAAAATAAATTATATTATAATTGATTTATAAGTGTTTTTAAAAAAAATTTGTTACATATATATATAGTTCAAATCTGGCCCTCCAACCTTAAATTCATGGCTCTGCCTAATACGACGGGACTCACACCCTTCACATGAATAAATTCGGTCATTGTTGAATGCAGTCCATATATCACTACTCAAAATATTACATAGAGAGTAATGATTCCATGCTCATGAACAAAAAAATAAAATAAAATAATTGCTATCACACACCAACTATAATGGTCACTAAACATTATACTTGGTGTAACAAATTTTTTTATTTATCAATAGGTAAAAATAATTTTTTGGTTTATAACTTGTGTATATATATATTCTTTGAATGCTACATTTAAATAGAATTGTGTCCAACAAAAAAAAATAAATAAATAAATAAATCTCAAACAGTACTCAAACACCGATGGCAAACACAAAAAATTTTCTCCTCTATTTGAAATTCTAGTCTGAATTTGATTTGCTTGGAACGTACTTAAATTGTAGATACAACAAACTAAAAGGTATCTATGATTTTCTGTGGCATTAATCAAGTTGAATATTTACAAATCTCTTATTACAAATTCTTGTTTCTTGATTTGAAATCAAAATCTAGGGTTTCTGATTATTTTTCTCTTGATGGTGACGACAACAGCAAGACAAAACAAAATTAAATAACAAAGAAAAAATAAATCAAATTCGAATTCGAATCTTTACTATTGTTATCAAAATAAATTGATTCAGATCTATTACATTACTTTTACTGAACTATAAACTATAGTAGTGTAAAAACTTGGTTTTTAACTAAACTGAAGCTTACAATACAAATTATTAAGTTAGATGTTCAATTCAAACTTAAGTGAACTTGACGTGCAAGTCGAACACAATTCAATTCTAGTTCGCCCACAATGACAAATAGATACACAATCAATTTTTTTTGCGATTTAAATAGAATTGTGTCCAACAAAATAATAATAATAATAATAATAATTTTCAATCAGTACTCAAACCTGGATGGGACAAACACAAACATTCTCTTTATCTAAAACTCTAACCTGAATTTGATTTGCTTGGAAGTATGTAGATTAATCAAATTAAAAAGTATCTATGATTTTCTATTCTGTGGATCAAATTAAACATTTGCAAATATAAAGTTTTTGATTAAAAGTGTTTCTTGATTTGATATCAAAATTTAGGATTTCTGATTATACCCACTTGGCAACAGCAAATTTGGAGCGAAATTTTGTAAAAGGAGTGATATTTACCCAAAAAGGAAAAAGAAAAGTTGATTGTGAACGTCAATCCCTCAAAATTAAAGTCCACAACATTTCGTTTAATTTTATTAAATGAGTTTTCCATCATAATATTGTGGTCAAACGCCTTAAAATGATATGAAAATTAATTAACCCTAATCCACTGTATCTACTTTCCATCCAAAAAATCGACCTGATAACATGAGATTAAATGAGCCCATTAACATGATTTATGATAGGTGACCTAACAATTTTATTATTATTATTATTATTATTATTTCTTCTGATAAATATCGTACTTTAAAAATATATATTCTTTTACACAAAAATAATTTATTCATTATTACCGATTCGCAATTTCGTCAAAATAATGACCCATTACCACTCACAACTCAAGTAATCTTTGCAATTTATAAGTTTGGAATTTCGATTGGGACTCCGATCTTTTCATTTCAATTTTGTGGACCACGTCAATAATACAACATGTTTTACGAAGAGTTATAACACTTGTAAAGTGTTATAAATTATAAATCAAAAAAAATATTTATTTATTGATGAAAAAATATTTATTTACACTAAATATGACACTTATTAAATATGATTTGGTAACATTATACTTGATGTGTGGGAGAATTTTTTTTACTTATTGATGAACATATTATTATACGATATGTATTAATCATAGTTGTACGCGATGTATAAGTCGCTAATTAATTTTTTCTTAAGTTTGATATGTAATATGTATTGGTTAGTTTACATTAATTTTGTTCAAATTCATTATATTGCGATTAATACCAATATTACAACCGTGACCCGATACTCCAAATTATGAATATAAATTTTTTTGTTGTAATTTTTCTTTTTTTTTTTACAAGTTGCATTCACGAATGTATTTTCAGCACTACGTTGTTTTGATTTTTATTTAAGTACCGACCCGAATGTGCATGGAAAGATTCTGGCTCTTTTTCTTGAAAGTTGAAACCATAAACCTTGGCCGCATCCATCAGTGTTTTTTTTTTTTGGTTTTTGTTTGTTTTTGGAAGGTGCTACCATCAGTTACCAAATTTTTTTAACACCTCAAGGTTGTCTTTCTCATTAATGTCTCACCTCTTCAATTTTTTTTTGAAATATTCCCAAATTAAGCCAGACGTGTCCGTTGGAATGTTCTTTTACCAAATTACCCTTCAAACAATCCGAATCAAGAGTTTTTTCTCCGTACATCTCTGGTGGCAGTATTGACCAAACAACTTTCGTCTTTTGGTTTTGAGTTCTTCAGCTTCCGCCTTTTAAAGAGTAAGACGTAAATTAAATACATGTTGCAAGGGTATTATTGTCATCCGAATTCAAATATAAAATTATGGCACTCTGCCCAACACATTTCCTCTGAACATCCCAAAACTGTTCTCTTCTGTTCTCTTCCTCCCCACTACTACACACATTTTAGAGAGAGAAAGAAAGAGAGAGATTGTTGTTTAAGATTAGGATCTGGGTAGTGTCCACCGAGAGATGAAGATTTACAGAAAAATTAAGGGGTATTGATAAAGTTTGTCTAAGAGATAAAGAGGATAACTTTACACCACTCTGACTGTTTCGTATCTGTTCCTCCATTGATGAAAGCTTACAAGCCCAAAGGAACACTCTTGTCAAAGTGAGTAAAACGAAACACCGAAACCTTTCTCTCTTTTTTTTCTTTTTTGCTTCTAAATCTGTAAAAAAGGAACACCCAGAAAAACCCATATCGAATTTGATTGAAAATCTAAAGAAAAAGAACAGAGTTTTAGAGAGAGGAAGTGTATGTGGTTTTTTAGAGAGAGAATAAAAATGGGTTGCTGTTATTCAAGAGTAGAGAGAGAAGAGATGGTGTCAAGATGCAAAGCTAGACAGAGGTACATGAAACAGTTTGTAAAGGCCAGACAAGCCTTCTCTGTATCACACAGTATGTATCTAAGGTCACTCCGAAGTACAGGCTCTGCTCTGCTTCAGTTCGCCACCGCCGAAACCACCCTCCACCACCAGTTCCACCACCTCCAACACCACCACCTCCCACCGCTCCCCCCTTCACCGCCGCCTCAACCCCCAACCCCACCGCCGCCACCTCCAATGAGCCCAACCTCCGACACCTGGACTACCTCAACCACCACCTCCACCGTCCTGCCGCCGCCGCCTCCCCCCCCTCCGCCGCCGTCAAGTTGGGATTTCTGGGACCCATTTGTGCCGTGTTCCTCTAGATCAGTTACAGAGGAGGAGTGGGAAATGACAACCATCGCGTCGGAGGTGGCCGTCAACAACACCGCCACCACCGTTGGGGCTGCGAAAAAGACGGCTCCGCCGTCTGTGATCAGTGGGTTTTCAAAGGACACCACAAATGAGCTTGCTATGGTGGTCTCTACTAAAAGTAAAGATCTAGATGAGATCATCAGAGAGCTTGATGAGTACTTTCTCAAGGCAGCTGATGCTGGAAGCCAACTCGCATCCGTATTAGAAGTTTCTTCTTCTAGATTTTCTGATCAAAGTTCATCAGGTAGTGTTATACACACATACACACATACACACATACATAATATATACACACATACACACATACATATCTGCATATATATCTGCCGTTGTCTGGTTCTATTTACACACAGAAATTATAATTTAATTACCAAATATAGACATAATGGAATTATATTGAATAATTAAGATGAAGTCACTGGCCAATTTTATTCCTTTACATTGATTGTGGTCAGACTGGTCAGTGACTAGCAGTTATTTTTACGTTTGGTAAGTAAATTGTAATTATTGTTACACAATTACAATATAAGTCTATATAGTCACATATACATACATAAATATACATTCATTGGTTGGTTGATTAATTTTATGGTTCAGCTAAGGTTTATGGCTATGGGAAGAATTTGAGTCCATTGTTATGGACGACATGGGGTTCGAGTCCGAAATCGAATGCGTTTGTGAGGATGACTGAGGAAATGGCAGGAGATAATATAAGTGGCATTAGTGGCAGTCACTGTTCTACAGTTGAGAGGCTCCATGCTTGGGAGAAGAAACTATACCTTGAGGTCAAGGTACTTTAATTAGTCCTAATTTTCACTTTTTCTACAGAGTTCTTTCTCTAAATACTATTATGGTGTTACTGTGTTGTGAACCAAGAGCATTTATTTTGGATCCCAAAACACATAACATTCAAAGATTGGACATTTAATATTCCTAAGTTAAAATGTTATATATTCATCAACTAATGTTTTGTGTGTGTGTGTGTGGTTTTAGAATGCTGAGACATTGAAGATGGAGCATGAAAAGAGGGCAGCTCAGCTAAGGAAGCTAGAACTGAAGAGGGCTGATTATGTGAAGACAGAGAAAACTAAGAAAGAGGTTGAGAAATTGGAATCAAGAATGGTGGTTGCTTCGCAGGGCATTGAGACCACCTCTGCTGAAATCATCAAATTGAGGGAATCAGAGCTCTACCCACAACTTGTTGAGCTTGTAAACGGGTACTACTACTACTTTTCTTCTCACTCTTGGGCATCTATATATGTACTTTGGTTCTTATCTTATATATTGAACATGGTCAACTTTAATATTTTGGCTCAGATGGACAGTAGTACAGAACAGAAATTTGCTTTTTGACTACTTTTACTATTTTGTTTCGTTCGATCACGTCTTTTGTTTGCTTTTGTACTGGAATTTTCCTTTTTTCTTTTTGCAAGTTTGTGTTGAAATGCCCTTTGACTCAAAGTGGATTAACAATCTGATGAGCGACTAGGATTAACCAAGTGGGTCTCTCCTTATTCCTTAACATCAGGAACTCTGTTATTAATTGAGCAACTTTCTATTGAACCGTCTGCTCAAGGGAGACAAACATCCTATTCTGTCGGTAGACTTGGTACCGGTTTTGTCGGGGCTCATGGAATAAAACTGTCAACTAGCTTACTGATTAGTTTTCCATGAAATTCAAACACAATTCTCATTGCCCCCCCGCTACATTTAAGTAAAAATCTCCAATGTGGTGACGCAATGTCATTTGACTGACGCATTATTTCATTCACATGAATCACACACACTGTACAAACCAATTATTTCTTACAATTTCTGTACATGCCCATTCATTGACATGGCTCATTCACTCACTATGTCTCTATTTTCTCTTCAATCAGGGGGGAGAGAGAGAGAGAAATCGTGTTTGCATGGCAAGATTTAAATAGTATGTGACTATGTGAGCAAAATGACATGGTGTCACTGTTCCATTGAATTTTACTCATATCGGAGTCTAAGAGAGCTTAATTACTTCGCTTACTTGATGAATTTAGTTAGGGAGCATATGGAAGTTCAAACTTTGTTACAAGATGGTAATAATAGTCTTTGTAAAAGGAGTGAATTATTGAAGTGTTTCCTTGTTATTTTTCTCCCATTTTTCCGTTGAAGTAAAACACTTGTTCAATTAAAATGTACACAAATTGGCCGCATCATTGAGTTTTAATTACTATGAAATTTTCAGAAATTAAACTGTACAGATTGATATGCAATTATCTTATTTCTGTTTCCGTTTGTCTTTTGTGTATAGATTGATGTGCATGTGGAGAGGCATGTACGAGTGCCACCAGGTCCAAACACACATAGTTCAGCAGCTCAAGTATCTCAACATCATTCCATCTATTCAACCCACATCTGAAATTCACCGCCAATCAACTCTCCAATTAGAGCTCGAAGTCCAGCAATGGCACCACTCCTTCTGCAACCTAGTGAAGTCCCAGCGAGACTACATCCAATCCCTCACAGGCTGGCTCCGGCTTAGCCTCTTCCAATTCAGCACCAACCCACTACACAAAACCAGACAAGACTCTGCAATTTACTCCCTTTGTGAAGAATGGAACCTTGCAGTTGACCGTCTTCCAGATAAAGTGGCATCAGACGGGATCAAGGGCTTCTTAACAGCAATCCACGCCATTGTAGTTCAACAGGCCGAAGAGCAAAAGCAGAAAAAGAAGTCGGAATCAGCATTTAAAGAGCTCGAGAAGAGGTTGGTTGAACTCAGATCGCTGGAATCCAAGTATGGCCCATATTTAGTGTCTGAAGCCTCGAGCAGTACTAGAAGGAAGGACCCGATTCAGGAGAAGCAAGCCAAGGTCGATATTTTGAAGGCAAAGGCAGAGGACGAGAAGGCTAAGCATGAAAATCTAGTGAGTGTAACGAGGGCAATGACACTGAACAACCTACAGATGGGGATGCCGAATGTCTTTCAAGCTGTGACCGGATTTGCCAGCGTGTGCATGAATGCATATGGATTGGTATATAACCAGGCCAAAGGTACTGATGAGATGCACGAAATGAAGAGGATATTGCCGTAGAAAATACAATTCGCGATATAGTCCATGTAGAATTTTCCAAATCCTAGTGTTTGGGTAGAGGAGATGGTAATTCTATAGAGGCATAGGTCCCTTTGTAAGTAGTCCTATGGATGCTGTTAAGGTTTTAGTTCAGTTGGTCTGTGCTGATACCAAAGAGGTTGGGATTTGAAAACTAGCTAGGAGGTTTTGGTTTCGGTATATATACTTGTTTTGTGGTGACTTGTGAAACGTTTTCAGTACTTTGAATTTTTTTTTTTTTTTTTTTTTTTTTTTTTTTTTTTTTTGAGAAGTTTACGTGGAAGTGTCTTTTTGTGCAGTTCACTTTATGAATTTTGTTGCAGAACTTTGTCTTTTATGACCTAAATTTTTTTCTGATTGAATCATCTAAACAATGTTAATCAACTTTAGTTTATAACAAACATATCAAAAGAAAAAAAAAAAGGGTTATGTAAAGGTATTCTCACAAATTCGAAATATTAGTACTGCAGATTTATTCACCCTCTACACTGAGTCTTCCTCTTTCCTGAAATTCTTACCAACTTCAAAGCCATTCAGGGGCGGAGGGAGGGATGGGCCTGGGGTGGTCATGGCCCCCCAATTTTTTTTTTTATAATTTCTATTAGTGGTGTATATTTATACTTATTAAAGGTAATTTAGTATAGAAAAATTTAAATTGGCCCTTCAAAATTTCATGTAACTTCTATTAATAGTGTATATTAATAATTATTAATGATAATTTTAATTTATTATAGAAAAATTAAAATTGACCCACCAAATTTTTAAAAAAAATACTTATTTTTGTTACTTATTTATGGTTATTAAAGATGGTTTGCAAAAGAAAATGCTTAAGTTCCTAAAAATCTAACAAAACCTTTTTCTTTTTTCTTTTTTTTCTTTTTCGGATGGTTATTAAAGATGGTTTGTTGCTCTTCAAAATGTTCCAACAACTATCAAACTTAAATTTGGTGTTATTTTGATGAGCGAACAACTCTTTGGCTCCTATCATCTAAAAAAATAAAAATCAATAATTATTAGAAGACAAATCTTTAAAATATCTACCAATTAAATTTAATATAATAAATAACTTACCTTGTACTCATTGTCTTGCCCACTGGGATAACTCCTTTCGATCTGGGCCATGCATCCAGAAATTTTGATAATCATTTGTTGCATGAAAGACCAACGATTCAAACAGGCATTATGATTTCTTTTAGGTGTACCAGCACCACTAACGTGTTACTCAAAACTTTCATGAATTCGGATCCAAAACGCTGTCTTTTGTTGGTCTGAACCGATGACCGCATCAGTGCTAATGGCCATCCACACATAACATAAAGCTTCATCTTCAACCGTAGACCAATTAGGAGGCTGAATAGCCCTTTGCTTTCTGGGAGGCTGGGAGTTACTGGATTGTGGCACTTTAGTAGGAATATTGGAAACTTGAGAAGGTTGATGAGACGGAAATTGAGATTCTTCTCCAACAAATAAGAAGGGATCAAATTTATCATTTGATTGGTTGAATTGAGAGTTGTAGTTGTAATATGGTGGTGTCAGATCCATAGAATTAAACTTGAGTAAAAAATATAACTAAAAGATTGAGAAAATGACTTAATGGTTGTACTTGTAGGTTGAAGACTAGAGAAGATAGGTTGGATATGAGGTGAATAATAGTATGGGTTGATGTATTTATAGAGGAAAAATGAAAGTTTTTTTTTAAAAAATAAATATATATTTTTTAATAAAAAAATTAAAAAAATATGTTTTTGTGCTAATATAGCCGTTAAGGCACTGTTTGTGTCAGCCAAACAGTGCCTTAACGGCTCTTTGGTTCAATTATTTAAAAAAAAAAAAAAAAAAAAAAAAAAAGACCAAAAGAAGACAAAAATCTATTTTATTGCTTTTTTTTTCCAGGCAAACATGCCCTTAGGAATAATGTTATGGGCTAAAGCACTATTCTGGGCCAGAATAAAAAAAATTAAAACAAAACTAAGGCGGGCCCGCATGGGTCGCGGTTTTCAGCGACCCATTGGGTAGGGCCGAATTTTTAGCGATGCTATTGGAGGAGTCCAATAGTGAAAACCAGCCCAAAATTTCTAAATTATGGGCCATTGGAGCTGCTCTAAAACCATTTTTTTTTTTTACCCCCTACTAATATCAATCTAACAAAATAAGCAAAACCCATAATTTGTACAACTCCCTCAACTAAAAACAGAGATCCTAACCAGAGACACAAATGTAACGACACACTCTACCACATGGTATGATATTGTCCACCTTGGACTTGAGCCCGCACGGTTTTGCTCTTAAACTTTACCTCAAAAGGCCTCATACTAATTGAAGTAAACACCACCGCATATAAGCACTTCACCTTTCCCTTACCTAAGCGATGTAGGATTGTGCACCTGTAGCTCGCCCAGTGTGGTAGCCTGTCAATGTCTCGCACTCGTCCACAAGGTCATCACAATCCACCCCCCCTTGTAGGCCCGATGTCCCCACCGGCACACTTTCGGCTTAATCAGGCTCTGATACCATTTATAACGACCCACTCCACCACATGGTATGATATTTTTCGCTTTGAGTCCGAGCCCGCACAGTTTTGCTATTGGGTTTTACCCCAAAAAGCCTCATACCTGTAACGACCCGAAAAGATACCAAAATAATAATAAAAATCTATAAAAATTTCGGTATGACCTTCGCAGAAAATGTCCTTCAACAACCTGTTGAAATACAAAAATAAATGCAATGGCCTCACTAGGCCTTAAATCTAACTTATCATGTCCCAACGCACAATTCAGATATTATACTACATTTCCAAAATAGTTACATACATATAAAAGTCCCGTTCCTCCATCTCATCCAAACAAGGGACACATCCGTTACTTCAAGTTACAATCCATAATTGTAGCTAAAATTTTAAAATCCATAGCTTACAACATTATATTAACTAAACTAAAGTTTCACAAAATATTTAAGATTACATTTACAAAATATATATTAAAGTTCTAATACAAAAGATAGCAAAAAATAGTAAAATAAAATAGATCTCCAAGCTAATCTAAACCAGTGGTGGATCGTCGTCCGCCACCTCTTTTCCGTGTCCTGAAAAATGTTTAAAAAAATGGGGTGAGCATAAGCTCAGTAGGAAGTGTCAAGACACACTTCTTATATCCCCGTGAATCCCACACAAAGAATGGATAAAAAGGGACGGGGTCATACCACGGGGAAAACACAATCTCAATCACAACGACAAGCATAGTATAAATAACATCCAATCACAAATTTCCCACATGTACCATTAAGTGCAATGTCATGCCTATGCCACTCCCCGTTTCCGAAATAATTCCGTTTCAACAACCAAACCGTTAATGTAATCCGACCCAAGGCACCTCCAAGGCGTCACGAAAGGAAGGTTGGTTAACTATCCACGACCACAAGGTACCTCCAAGGCGTCGCATCCGACCTCGTTAACTCAACTAAATTCCTTTCTAGACTACACTAACATCACGGACCACTAGGCGCCTCCTAGACATCTGGTTTTCGCAACACTTTTAGAAAATATTTTTCCCAAAACAATTTTATTTGTTCTAACAAATATTTTTCCCCCTTTCTCTTTCCCAATGGATGCATGAATGTTTCATGCTTTAAATCATCTATTTAACTATATGTTTTCACACATTTCCATTTACATCATTATCACAATTTAATGAAAATTTCTAAACATTCATTTCCTTTATTTATTTATTTATAACCATAGCACCCATTTTTTTCTTCAAGACAATAAATAAATAAATAAATAGTCATGGAACATACAACACATCAAACACTAAGCATGCTCTTTTACCGTAATGAAAATAGACATGCATATGAACTCAAATAACACATGGAACACAATTATCATTGTAATTTCATATAACTACAACAATAACAAGCTAAGTAATTAAAATTTAGCATGCTTAGGATCAAATTTAAGGGGAAAAATTCATCAAAGGCCAAGAAATTGTAGATTAGAACACCCCTACCTCAAATTGATGAAAACCCCCAATTTGAGCCCAAGAACCCTAGAATTTCGAACTCCCTAGAGTGCACCAAAACTGAAATTGTTGATACTCACACGTAGATCTCGTCATGCTCTTCGATTTGCCGCAAACGGCACCCAAAAATTCCAAGTATGGAAGGAGGAATCAAGGCTTAAAATTGTAAAAAAAAAGAAAAAAAAAAAGAAAAAAGAAAAAAAAAAATGAAGAGCAAGCTACTGGAGTGAGTCGGACGAGAGAGTGAGATACGCAGAGAGAGTCAAAGGCCATTAGGCCCTTTTTGTTGTTTAACATAATGGCGGGGCCCACTACTTTTATTTCTTTTTCTTTTATACTTATTTATTTTTTTAATATCATAAATATATATATATATATATATATATATATATAAACATTACAATACCAATTGGAGTTAATACCACCACATATAAGCACTTCACATTTCCCTTACCCAGGCAATGTAGGATTGTGCACCCGTAACTTGCCCAGTGTGGTAGCCTGTCAATGTCTCGCACCCGCCCACGGGACATGTAATGTTATGATTTATTATATATATTATATATGTGTGTGTGTGTGTGTGTGTGTGTGTGTGTGTGTGTGTGTGTGTATTAAATTGGGAAATTTTGTGGTGGAGGGACCCACCACCACTATCTTTTGGATTTTTGACCAAGAGACTATCATTTCTTAGCCTCTCATTCTTTCTATCTCCCGGCCCTTTCTCTGTTCTTTCTTTTTTCTTTTTCTTTTCTTTGCTAAACTTCAAAATTTGATTACTTCCGCATCTCTTGGAGTTTTTGGGAGCCGTTTGCGGCAAAACGGAGAGCACGGTGAGATCAACATGTGAGTACAAACAATTTCATCTTTTGGCCTCCCTAGGATTTCAAATTTGAGACGTATTTTGAGGGTTTTTCTACAAATTTGAGGCAGGGGTGTTCTAATGC